CTTCCCTGCCGCTCCATTGCACGCCCCCAGTGTTTTGCCTCAGTGTGGTGGGGTCAGCTCAGTTGCCCATTCCACACTGTGTCTCCGGTGCTGTCCCGAGCAGGGACATGTGTCAGCGCAGGACGCCGCATCTCGCCTTGGGGGCAGCTACACAGTCCTCTCTGTACACTGGGCCCTCTGAGCTGGGCCATCGTACTCTGAGTTTGGTGGGCCCAGTTGTGCTCCGCTCCTTTCCTCCTCCTTCCTTTGTCCCAGCTTCCCTCTGGGTGTGGTGTGGTAGGTCAGCTCCCCTCCCTCACTGGATGATCTACTTCCATCCTCTGTGGTGCTCCCTTCCATGGTGGGGTCGGGCTAAATCTGGCTAGGGCCGGCGCCTGGTCCAGTCTCTCCGTGTATTCCTCCTTGTTTTACATTGCTCCTCTGATTTGGCGTGTCCTGATGGGGGCTGTATGCCCGTTTCAGTTCTGTGGAGACACAACCATACTAAAATTTTAATTACTCAAGACATTAATCTTAAATTTAGGATTACAAAGAGTATATATGCAGATCCTAAAGATATCTTTAGTGCTGTCAAGTAATTCAAACGTGGTAAAAATGAATTTGATTTGCATCTTCACTCTACAACCTAATTTTGTTGTCATGGATGAACCTACAAATGCATAAAACATTAATACATTGTTCTTGACTGATGCATTATTTATAACAGCAAATTATTGGAAACAACTCTAGTGTCTAACAACAGAAGAGTCATTGAATAAATAGAGGCGTAACCACACAATGGAATACTATTCAAGTTTTTTTTTTTTTAATCAGGTAGATCCATATACTAAAATAAATTGCAGGGTATTGTTAGAGTAAAAATTTAAGGTGCCAAGAAAGTATATATAGCATGCCTTCTATTGTGTAAAAATATGGTGGAATAAGAATGTGTTTGTATTTATATGAAGAAACACTTAAAGAATAAATAAGAAATTAATAAAAATAGTCACCTTTAAGACACCACAGGAAATGAGTAGAGAGGGACCGGGTTAGGAACAAAATTGCTTAGCATATATCTTTTATATCAGTTTAAGTTATAAAAAAAAACAAAACTTGTTGACATTCAATCATTTCAGGAGGCAGCATATAAGCAAAGCCAATGGTGCTGAAGGAAGAAGTTCAAGCTGCCTTGAATGCATTAGCCAAAAACAAGGCTCCAGGAACTGAGAGAATACCAATTGAAATGTTTCCACAAGTTAAGAAAGTACTAGAAGCACTCACTGTTCAGTGCCAGGAAATTTGGAAGACAGTTCCTTGGCCAACTCACTGTAAGAGATTCATATTTGTATCCATTCCAAAGGAAGGTGACCCAACAGAATGTTCAAAGTATAGAACACTATCATTGAGATCACAAGTAAGTAAAATTTGCTGAAGGTCATCCAACAACCGTTGCAGCAATACATTGATGGGGAACTGTCAGAGGTTCAGACAGGATTAAAAATAGGAAATGGAGTAAGGGTTAACATTGTTGATGTCAGATGGATCTTGGCTCAAAGAAGAGAATACTAGAAAGATATCCACTTGTGTCTTATTGACTATGTAAAGACATGTGACTGTGTGGATCATAATTAACTGTGGAGAACCATGGGAAGAAGGGGAATTCCAGAATACTTCATTATGTTCTTTTGAAACTTGTACATGGATCAATCATTTGTGTCAACAGGACAAGGGAATCTTGCTGGCTTAAAATCAGGAAAGGTGTATGTCAGGTTGTATCCTCTCCCCACACTTATTCACTCTGTATGCTGAGCAAATCATCAAAGAAGCTGGATTATATGAGAAGAATATGCCATTAAGATTGAAAGAAGGCTTATTAACAACCTGTGGTATGCAGATAACACAAACTTACTGAAAACGAAGAGGACTTGAAGCACTTACTGAAGAAATTCAAGGGTTGCAGCCTTTGATGTGGATTACAACTCATTGTAAAGAAGACTGAAATCCTCACAACTGGACCAATAGGTAGCATCATGATAACTGGAGAAAAGATTGAAGTTGTCAAAGATTTCGTCTTGCTTGACTCCATAATCAGTGCTTATGGAACCAGCAGTTAAGAGATCAAAAGACATATTGCATTGGGTAATAAATCTGCTACGCAATAGCTCTTTAGAGTATTGAAGAACAAGTTGTTACTTTGAAGACTAAAGTGCACCTGACCCAAGCCAGGGTATTTTCCATTGCCTCATATGCATGTGAAAGTTGGACAGTGAATAAGGAAGACTAAGTAAAAATCATTGCATTTGAATTGTGCTGGAGAAGAATTTTGAAAGTACCATGGACTGCTAAAAGGACAAACAAATCTGTCTTGGAAGAAGTAAGGCCAGAGTGCTCTTTAGATGCAAGGATGGCGAGACTTTTTCTTACATACTTTGTACATAATATCAGGAGATACCAGTTCCTGGAGAAGAACACCATGCTTGGTTGGGGGGGAGGGCAGGGGGACGGGGTGTAGGGAGGGTAGTAAAAAAGAGAAAGGAAGGCCTTCCACAGATGGATTGACTCGGTGGCTGCAACAGTGGGCTCAGGCACAATGGTGAGGATGGTGCCAGACCATGTGGTGTTTTCGTTCCCTGTGCATAGGATCGTGTGCATAGGCTGGGTCTGAACAGACTCAATGGCACCTAACAAACAAACAGATCCTTGAATCATGTAAAATGTTTTTCACTTTTGGTGGAAATTTTCAAACATACATAAATATAGTATAGTAAGCTTTTATATGCCTGTCTTCTTTCAAAGATGACCGGTTTTATTTCATCTACCTCTTCTCTTTCTGCCACTCGCATTTGTTTTAATTATTTCGAAGCAGAGTTGATGTTGGCAAGAAGATTGGAAAAAGGCCTTCTACTGAAGATGTTACTGGCTTTGAAGCAATAAACATAATGAGAATACATTTATGAGAAAGGTTGTTCCATAGTTCAAAACACTTGTATTGCTAGGCCGAACTGTGGCTTAGGATCTATAAGAGTATGGTAAAGGGTATAAAGATTTAGCATAGCTACCCCTTACCCCATGCTTTAGCTACTCGAAAGAAAAGTAAAATCAAAAGAAGAAAAGCACTGTGCTCAACTAGGTGGTATTGATTGGGTTATGCAATACTGATTTTCTGTCGTAAGTTGTTTGCAACCAGATCTTGCTGACTATTGTAAATTGAGTCTCTGACATGTCAGAAATCCAAACCTATTTTTACTTCTCATATGAGGGTAGACTTTAAAGTAATTCAACAACACAGGGCTCTGTTTTCCTTCCAGTAAGGAGAAACTTCATTTCCATCACCACTCTGCCCTTTGGGTGAATATAGAAAAAGAAAGATTGCAATAGTCAATGACCTAAAGCTACTAACCCGAAGTGATTCTCATTGCCTGTCTTCCAAAGCTCTAAAGTCAGGACAACAACTATTAGTAAAATGTCTTCCCTTTACTAGCCATTTTGAATTTCTATTGATTCCTTCCCTTTGTTGAATTCATCTTTCCCCAAACCATACTATATTTTTATCAATATTCTTAAATACTTTTATTGGGGGCTTTTACAGTTCTTATCACAATCCATACATTTATCCATTATGTCAAACATATTTCATTTTCAAAGCATTTTTTTCTACTTGAGCCCTTGATATCAGCTCCTCGTTTTTCTTCTCCCTCTCCCACCATCTCTCCCTCATAAACCCCTGATAAATTATAGATTATTATTTTCATATATTACAACGTCCTCTGTCTCCCTTCACCCACTTTTCTATTTTTTGGCCCCCTGGGAGGGGGTTATATGTCAATCCCTGTGCTCGATTCCCCCTTTCTCTCACTACCTTCCCCTTATCCTCCTGGTATCTATTTTCATTATTGGTCCTGAGGGGTTTATCTGCCCTGGATTCCCTGGGTTGCAAGCTCTTTATCTGTAGCAGTGTACATGTTCTGGTCTAGTCAAATTTGTGAGATAGAATTGAGGTCATGATAGTGGGGGGAGGAAGCATTAAAGAACTACAGGAAAGTTGTATGCTTCATCGATGCTGTACTGCACCCTGACTGGTTCATCTCTTCCTTGTGACCCTTCTGTAAGGGGATACACAATTGCCTACAGATCGGCTTTAGGTCTCCACTCTGTGCCCCCCCCCCACCCCCATTCACCTTGGGTATGGTTTTATTCTGGGACTTAGATGCCTGATACCTGATCCCATCGACACCTCATGATCACACAGGCTGGTATGCTTCTGGTATATGCAATTTATTTCCACCCCAAGCACCCTATTTCACATTTTTTCTGCATGATCTATTTTTCTCATTGTTCATTAGCAGAAGTGTAGGTGGTAGATACAGAGCCTGTGCATACCCCACAAGCTGGCCATGTCCCCTACTGGCAGAGGACTTAAGTGTCATGCTAGGCTGCGGTGTTTCTCTACGCTGAGGTGTGAATCTGTTGTCTGCTTTTACAGTGAAAAATTTCTGAGCTGTTACCCTAGGAAAGCACTGGAGGAAGTAAGTCAGCCTGCTTTGCTTGACCTGCTGGGCACTCAGTTGCTCAAGTTGGCTTCAAAGACACATGGGAACGAATGTCGTCTAGTTAGGTGACTAGTAGGACCGCAATGGGTGGTGAGGCTGTATTTATAAATGAACAAGTACATGGTAGAAATCAGGAGAAAAGTAGGCTTATAGATGGCATGTGAACAAGATACAGAAAATCATCAATAAAAGAATGCAGGCTAGTTCCAGTTACGGCACCCTGGTAGTGTAGGGCTGCCAAGGACAAGGTCAGCAGTGTGAAACTGCCAGCAGCACCGTGGACCAGGTGAGGCCTTCAGTTCCTGTGCACACTTACGGTCTCCCAAGCCCACAAAGGCAGTTCTGCTCTGGCCTGTCGGGCTGCTCTGAGTCAGAGTGAGTTTGGGTTTGGTGTTGTAATTTCATTTAACTATGGCTCATCTCTATCAGAAAGATAAATTCTGTTCATCTCTTCATTATGGTTTGTCACAGAGATTATGATCGGGAACAGTTTGCTGATAACCAGATACCACTCCTGGTAATAGGGACTAAATTGGACCAGATTCATGAAACCAAGCGCCATGAAGTTTTAACTAGGACTGCTTTCTTGGCTGAGGATTTCAATGCAGAAGAAATTAATTTGGTATGTATTTTCCACAAATACATGTTTGGATTAAGGAGTAAAGGCAAACCGAAGACTGCTCAAGTCAGATACAGTCAAACCGGGGGAAACTGAAACTTGTGGAAACTTGTCCAAAAAAAGAAAACTCAATAAAAGGCGATTTTATTGAGTTGTGAGCCCCTGTCAAAGGTGGCCAACTTGACAGAAGGGAGAAAAACAAGGCCACCCCATCCCGTGACAGCATCCCTAGTTTTCACTATCATCTCATGAAAGCAGCTTTACACACAAAGTCGGGCTGCTTGGGTTCTAGTCCAAAGGTCACCCAGATTGGAATCAACATGTGTAAACTGCCAAGTGGGCACTGTCACGTTCAACCTCCTTGAATGCTGATCTGTTGGAAAATGCCTTTACCACAGTGACCCCGACTGTCTCTATGTCGAATGAATAATGTAAGTCGTGGCATTTTCATGATTGTTTTTAATCACACCTGAATCAAAGTATTAAATCCATAAGGTGACAAACAAGAACCACTGATACTGTTCCTTAATTATTCTTGCTTTAGAAAAGCCTCTTGGCTTTTTAGACTCTACATTTTACCTTAAAGAACAACCAAACAGACAAATGAGATTATAAACTGCTAATTGGGTGTGCTTCAGAAGCACACTTACTGGCTCCAGGACCCCTGATTGTTCTAGTACTCTGACCTTTGAAAATTTTGTTATTGTCTCTTTACGTGTAGTTTTTGGACAGTATAATCTGATTTCTGACCAAAACTAAAAATGTAATCCTTGAGAAACTGTATATGAATGAAATAGGTGATTGTTACTAAATTCATTGTAGAAGCATCATATGTCTTAAAACCAAAAACCATACCCACTCCCCTTGGGAGGCTTCTGGCTCAAAGCAACCCTATAGGACAGAGTAAAATTGTTCAGTAGGGTTTCCAAGCTAAATGTTTACGGGAGCACCAGGCCTCATCTTGCTCCCAGGGAACAGCTGGTGGGCTTGAACCTTGGACCTGCAACTTGACCCATAGTGCCACCAAGGCGCTTCCTTATGTGTGCCTAGAGGTTTCAAGACATAATAAGTGTGACATGACTAATTTCAGTTTTCCAAGGGACACAGAGGGTCTACAGCTAAAAGATAAATACCACCCATGCAAAAGTGCCTGCATGTTAGTCTGAGTCTGGTCACTGTTAGCAGTTGAGGTAAAAATCAAAATCCTCTATCTCACAATGTGGCATGTCAGTGGTGACAAGCAGAGACAGCGAAATGCTGGGATTCCAGGAGAAGGGGTAGTAAGCCCAAGGTCTTTGCTTTCTAGCCTTTTTAGTGACTGTCTGTGCCAGATCACTGTGTTTTTTCTAGGATCTATTTTTTCGCTATTTAAAAAAATTCTGTTATGAGGCCTTAGGGGCATTGTGCATTCAGAGTTGGGGTGCTAACCGCATTTCAAATCCAGCAGCCACCCTTCGAGAGAAGGATGAAGCTTTCTACTCTCTTGTAAAGTCTTACCGTATTGGTAACCCAGAGGGTTAAAGCTACTTTGTCCTGTGTGGTCAAATATGAGGCAAAATTAGCTCAATGGCCATGAGGAATCTGTTGTTGTTGTTGTTGTTTATTAAATAATAGTAATATGTCACTTAATTTTTATTACCAAAACAGTGTATCTTTGTGGCCTACCAAGATATGTGGTACTTTGCATTCTGTGAATGAAAAACCGCTGCTGCCTGTTCTGTTTATTCTTCGAGGTTCTAAATTCTTACTTTCCCATGAACTGCATAGTAATTAGCTGAGCATTAGTGGATAACTAGTACTAAAAAGCCAAGTGCTTACTGTTTTTAATGGCTGTGTTCCGGTTTCCAGATTAAATGAGGGAAGGTTCCATTAGCTCTTTGGCTTTGTCATGAGTAACATGTTAGCAATCTTATCTTCTGTCAGGGGTCAGTAGGTGATGAGTACCTTCATTCGGCTTCCTCCAAAGTTTCTTAAATGACAGAGAGCAAGTGGCCTAATCTCCCTTTCTCACGCTTTTCTTCATGTCTTAAAGCTTACCTCTTTATTTTATGAGAATTTGATGCCCGGTACTTTATTGTAGAAATGTGCGATGAGAATAGTAAAGACTTACCAAGCTTACATTTCTGTTTTATCTTCTAGGACTGCACAAATCCACGGTACTTAGCTGCTGGTTCTTCCAACGCTGTCAAGCTCAGTCGGTTTTTTGATAAGGTAATGGCTTCAGTCAATTTATTTTCACACTAAATTCATGTCTTCTGAGAGGTGAACTTCTTGTTAGACTGCTCTGTCCCTTTAATCCTTCCTCTTGACCTCCACGGCCTGAGTGACCCTTGTTCTGCCCTCTGCTCTGTTAGTGTAGTTGCGCATGGCCTGCTGACGTGTTGATTTCATCACCAGTGTTCTCTCAGCAAAGGGTGAAAAAGCGACTAGACAAAAAACAGTTTAAGTTAAATGAATCCTCTTATTAGAACAATGAACATTTTCCTATTTTCTAGCTGGTTTTTTACCTCTTCACCCCCAAAAAGCACTGAACTGCAGAAATTCTGTTTAGTGAAAGCCCTGAGTTCTTCTTGCTCTCCTAGAAATGATTCTCCGCCTACTTGTTACCATGACTTTGTACGCTTGATCCTCAGAATGACTTGGTTGCCATCCCGGTGCCCTGAGCTGGAATAGAAGCACAGCGTAACTCAGCATGCCGATAAATTAGCTCACTGTTTGTCTTTCCCTCTCAAGCCGTGTGGCTGCATTGCACATACTATTGTTGTTCACCAAGTATTGACATTGAATCAAGGAGATTGTATTCTGTATGTAATGTTGGAAAAGATGAACCTCTTCTCTATTTCCTTTGATGTATAACCTCCCAAGGAAAACCATCCCCTCCTCATAGTTCTTGTTTCTGAATGATGTTTCTTCTTACTAATTTGGCCTCCTTGTCCTATATGCCAAGGGGCCGGGGCGTCCTAGTAGGGTGAGTGTTGGGCTGTTCACCATAAAGCCAGCACGTGACACTCATCAGCTGCTCAACGGGAGAAAGATGAGGCTGTCTCTTCCCATCAAGAACCACAATCTTGGTCCATCCTAGAGGGCCACTCTGAGTTGGAATTGACTTAATGGCAGTGAGTTTGGTCCTACATGTCGACATAAGAGAAACCCTCCTCCCCACAGGGTGCAATATCACCACTGAGAGAATTGTGCTTCGTTGAGGAACTTCCCAATGGGTAGGTGGCAGATAGGTTACAAGTGGGCCAAGAGACTGGTCCCCTCAGTTCAAAGAGCAGTCGGAGCACCTAGACTGGGTGACTGGAAGCCTCTCCCAGTGCCCCAATGTGCAATACAAATATTACCATTTTTCTAAATAATAATTTTTTTAATGTCAAGAAGCATTACAAGGAGCAGGTTTCTTCGCCATTTATTTTCAAAGTTCAAATTCTGAAACTTCCATGTCCCATCTGATACAACCTTCTCTCCTGTAAGAGCAGCAGCTCATCGGCCAGTCTGTGTCTTACATGTAGAGATCCCACAGTCTGATTTAAGTGTTTTAATAAGCTCTTAATTTGGTAGTTAAAAAAATAAGATACAATAAATGATAGCCCAATGAGAGAAGGGGCTGTAGTAGATCCATAGGACTCAAGGGGTCTGCCAGGACTTTGGGTTTGTTGTTGTTTTTTTAAAGAGGAAATTGGTTGACTTTAATGAAGGAGCAAGAGGTAGCGAGAGAAAGGCAGGTTGTGGTGGGAGCACAAAAAGGTCACTTTCATTGCATCGCTCACAAGACCAGAATGTGAAATGGGAGTTTGGGCAGACCTCCTGACTGAAGGGGTGGCCTAAAACCAAGGGCATGAGAACTAAATTGAGTTTCCATGCATCACATCTTCCAGAGCTTAGTTTGTTTCAGATTTCTTTTCCAAAGGAAGTCCTTCTCCATACTCGTTTGGCTAGTCATAGTTCCTCCCCTTTCTAGAATGAGCAGATTTCCCTTTCTTGTCATGGAGAAGAAAGGGAGTCAGACAGACTAGCTTTTCCACTCAGAAGCTATTGAATGGAACTTTCCCCTGAATCTCTCATGGCTAAAAGTAGCCTAACCATAGTCTCTAACATAAAAAACCTGCAGGCGATTTGGTCCTGAAGCCACTCACAGTAAGTTGGAAGAAAATACTGCTCTCATTCAAAGCAGTTCTTCATGTTATACCATTTGAGTGCCATCGTGATAATTTCTAACTAATTTGTATTCCTCTCTGATTAACTTTTCTCATTACAGCAGGTCTATTTAACGATACTAACCCTGCCCTTGAAACCATTGTTGTTTCTCAAAGTATTGGACAGAATTTCACTCTGATGTCACTTATGTACATGGTTGGGTTCCAAAGACCAGGTGATTGTGTGAAAATCAGCAGTATGTGAACACGGAGGATGATGACGTTATTGCCGAACTGCTGAATCTCATCAGTCTGTAACTGCCAAATTACAGCACTGTGGAAAGCTGTCAAACCACTGAGAATCAGGGCCCAGCCAAGTGGACATGTCCTGAGCCACCACAGCATTACTCTCAGCTCATACCTCAGTGTTTGTTACTGCCAGACATACATCACTATTAGGCAAAATAGTTGTACAGGAGGCTTTTTTCACTGTTGTAATTAATGTGAAATGTAAGATAAGAAGATACTAAGTGAGAATTAGGTGTGATGATTTTTTTCAAATGTGTTCCATCATCTAAACACATGGTGCCCTTGAACTCATATCTGTGTGTGTGTGTGTGTGTGTGTGTGTGCGCGCGCGCGCGTGCACGCTCATGTTTTGAAGAGGAGATTTTCAATAGTAGTAGATAGGTTTGCACAGATACGTCTACTGCTTTCACTTACTTCTCCTACTGACCAAATCCAGACAATTCTAAAACTACTGGATTTAGGGTGCAAATTAAGTCCATACAGAATTGAATAAAAGGTAGTTGACTGTTGTTAGTCTGGGGCCATCTGCCCTCACAGACTTTACTGTTGCGTTTACTGGAGGGACGTGGCAGCTCACTCTATTGCGTGGCCCTTTTGTAAGGAATGGCTAGTACTATCGTGGGAACGAGCTTTGCTTTCATCTTAATCTTTTTGGTGCCTGGCGCTTTTTACCTTTGGAGGCTGACTGCTTGGGGACTTGCTGCTGCCGTACACCAGGAGCTGCACGGGACCTTATAGCATTGATTATTTGGGGTTGTTTTTGTTTTTTTAATCTATCGTTAATGTTTTTTTGGAGCAAGGCAGACCTTACTAGGAACACTCCCATAACCCTGATCTCTTTGGCTTACTGGTTAAGTAAACATCTAGAAATATTCAAAAGACTATGAATTTGAATGTCAGCCTATCCGTTCCATTATTAGCCATTCCCAATCCCCCCTTTTCCAGGTATGTCTGTCTACTGAGCCCTTTTTCTGTTTCTCACAGGTCATAGAGAAGAGATACTTTTTAAGAGAAGGTAATCAGGTTAGTATCTCTCATTTCTTGGTACAGTAGAGTTTCAAATTGGATGAGGAGTGATTTGCAAATTTACAGAAGTGGTTTTAGAAGGGGGAGGAAGCCCTTTGGGTGGTGCAGTGGTTTGGCACTTGGCATTTAACCAAAAGGTCAGCACTCAGAGCTCATTCCCTACTCAGTGGGAGCAAGATGTGACCATCTGTTTCCGGAAACCTTTGGAAGTCCCACGGGGCTGGTCTACCCTGTCTGACAGGGTGCTGTGGGTCAGAGTCAACTCAACAGCACCTAACTGTTAGCGGTAGCTCGTGGGCTCGTGCTGACAGGTCATCTGGTCTTTCTCACGGGGAGCTGATGTGGGTTCAAACCTCCGGCCCTCTGTTTGCAGCTGAGCCCTGCTGATGGCTCTCCCAGGGCTCCTTTTGAAAGCAGCAGCCAAACCCCAACTCACTGTCATGGAGTCGATTCTGACTCAGAGACGAGTATTTTTGCATCTCCTGTTAAATGCAAGAGGGACGTTGGAAAAGAGGGGAAATGAGCAGGTTGCACGCTCAAATAGTAGAAGAAAACCACTCATGTCAGACTCCGGAAGGCCACCGTCTTGCCACAATGCCCAGAGTCCAGTGTGACTCTAATCCAGATAGCACCATTACCAAGTCGTTAGTGTATCTTTTCCATGTTACAATGTACTTCTTTAAGGACCAGTGGTTTTGTGAGTAAAAAGCTCAGAAAGCGGTTTCTGTAAGGAACAGCAGAGAAGAGATGTAGAAGGCCATTGGCATTTGAACTCTTCCTGCTTGAGACTTAACTGGGATTGTGTTTCTGGCCCACAGATTCCAGGCTTTCCTGATCGAAAGCGGTTTGGGGGAGGAACGCTGAAGAGCTTCCATTACGACTGAGTTCCGCTCATCCATGGGCAGAGTGAGCCAGCAGAGCGCGGCTTTTCACAGCTCTCCTCCTGCTGTGTCAAGTATTAACGCGCAGCCTTTTAACGAAATCATCTTAAAATGCCTCCCGCTCTAATGGGGAAAAAATGAAAGGAAGTGACAATGTGGGAGGTCCAAATTTTGTCCCCATTCTCTCTGTCCCTCACCCTTCTGTCCCTGCCTAGAGATTATGTAAAAGCCTGGTGGAAATATGAGGTGTTGTCAAGATGAAGCCATAAATGAGCAGTGACAGAGTGCTGCAGAGAAAATTTACTCTTGCCTGGAATTGGAAGGTTTCTATGGGTCTGTAATTTTCCCACCCTCCTTGCTGAAAGCTTAATTAAGTAGCTCAAAATGTATCTCTATTGTTTTACCTTCCTGAGGCGAAGGGTTATGTTAACCAGCCCTGAGTTGTCCACCCCAAACAATCTCTGTCATTTTCCAAGAAGCCAAGCGGTGTTATTTAATTGTCTCCACCTTCATCACACACAGGGATGCCTAATAATAGCAACCCTTGTATGCCTCTCCTCTCCTTTGCAAATGGCTCGGTGGCTGGAAGAGGCGGACTAATAGCTGGAGTTAAATATATATACAGATTAATAATACATAGGGAACAGCGGTCCCAGAAAAGAAGAATTCTGTGAGGAGCTGACAGCTCGCTACATCCTTCACTCTTCAGGGTACAGCGCTCTGCCCTCTCGCACTGCTTTCCGAGTGGTGTTCGAAGACCCACTCAAGGGCGATGAGAGATTTATAGCTTCTTTATTTTTCCGGTTCAGAAGGAGAAGTCAAGTCTTGAAATGGCAAATGAAGAATCTTATTCTCTGTGTCAACAGTATATTCATGGAGAGAAGTCCAAATAAGCTCCACAGCAACATATGTCCATGCCTCATGAACTTGGATTCCTGGAGGTTGTCAACACTCCAATAAAGTACTTAATATCACGTTGTTGGTTCGTTTTATGTTTGGGGTGGGTGTTGCTTGGGGAAGCTGATGTTTTAGAGGGCGGGTGTGTGTTTATGCACAGCTGCTCACTGATACCATTGTACCCACCTTGTCATGTCTGTTTCATTCTCTCTGCCCCAGTTTTTCCATAATACACAAACCTGTTTTCTGAAACTTCTAAGTTGCTGCCTTCTTCCGCAGCATCTTATCGCCCATGTTCTCTCTCCGATCCTGCTGCAAGTGTCTGCCCTCCGGGTGTGGCTCTCTATGAATAGAACAAAGGTAAGTGCATAGCTTCAAGTTCTCATTTTAAAACTAAGAAAACATGCAATTCACTTTGCATCCCTTTTTTAGATAATTCTCAGAAGTACTTTGGAAATCGAGGTACCCAGAAAAAGAGGATATTAAAATGAGAATGCTAGTGCTTTTAGAGAGACAGTCTTGAGAATTTGGACAAGGGTTTTCAGCAGCTAGAATATTCATCTTTCTCCGCCTCCACAAGACTTAGCCCTGTTTTCTTGGCTGACAGAAAGCAGGGCGATGTGCATTATGATCACCGAGTGGAATCTGACACACGCCTGTCTTGGCAGGGGCTGTGCAGTGGGAAAGGCCAAGTTCAAATGCTGAAGCCCGTTGACGCTCTTCATGTTCACCTTTTGAGTAATCTCACCATCCCAATCTCCATCCCAATTCCTGTACTTTCTCCCCTATTAAAATTGAAAGAGACCATCACTTATGGCTCCAACTCTGAAAAGTTAACAACTCCACTTCCTCTGCTTCCAGACTTACTCTGAGAACTGACGTTTTCTAAGATCGAAGGTTCATTTGTTACACGTCTTAAAAGCAGCAAAATAAACTTTTGGCCAGAATGAAAATTCTTAGCCCAAGTTCAAAAAAGAATGTCTTCAAAAGAAGACGTTTGGCTAAGATCTTCTGAATACTACCCATAAAAATTGCTTTTGGATTACAAGAAACAGGTATAAGTATCAAAATATTCCCCCAAAGTATTATTTATGAAATCTTTAATTTTCTTGCTGGGACAAGTTGCTAGTCCTAGAGAGATGCCCCCCACACCCCCACAGTGTCTTCAGAACTTGAGCCAGAGTTCTCCCTCAGCATGAGGACAACCAGATATGAAGACAGTGGCCACTCACCTGCCCCTGGGGTGGGCAGCACCCTTTGATCCCGTGTGTGAGCTGATCACTCCACCTTGTTCTGACAGCGGGTCCCCCAAGGGCTGATCCCTTCTGACCCCAGTAGCTTGGGTTCTCTCTTGGAAGTCCCTGAACTCCAGGCATGCGCGATCCAGACAGTGGCTGGTGGTAACTGGGGCGAAGAAGTGTCCGGGGCCCTGTCTTAGAGCTTTCAAGTCTTCCTTTCAGCTATGTGTATTACAGCACCCGACAGAGGGAGGGGGCGTGCGTGTGGGCATTGGATAGATGTTGCTTTCATTGCGTTTCCACAGCACAGGTAAAGACTTTTTCAGAAGGACATTTGAAGGTCTTACCAGGATTTCTGCATTGATTTAAAACCTGTTAAAATTCAAAGGAGAGTACTGGGGAAGGGAAGAAGAGGAAATTAAAAATTCATTTCTCTTCTCCCATCTCCCAGTTGCTGGCTGGGTTTCAGGCAGTTGCATCCCAGGAGAAGCCTGAGCCCCCCAGTGTGGGGGCCTCCTGCAGAGTACCTGGAGCCAGGGGAAGGAGATCCACCTTCCAGGTACAGTTCATCTGACCCTCCGTGTGAGGGCTTACATCAATGCCTTTGGCACTCCGGAGTGCATAAAAATCCAACCCTGAAGTGTCTGTTTAAAATGCAAATACTAGAAGGTTCGCCCCCTCCCCAATTCTTGTTCCAAGGGTTCGAGATAGGGCCCTGATTTGGCATTTTTAGAGGAGTCCTGGTGGCATAGTGGTTACATGTAGGGCTGCTAACCACACGGTCAGCAGTTCAAAACCACCAGTAGAAATGGGGCTTTTTACTCCTATAAAGCATCACAGTCTCAGAAACTCATGGGGACAGGTCTATCCTATCCTATAGGGTCTCTATGTGTCAGCATCGACTCATTAGCAGTGAGTTTGATGGGGTTTTTTGTTTGTGTGTTTGTTTGTTTTGGGGGGCGGGTGGGTTGTTTGTTTAAGTAGAACTGATAAATGCACATCAAAAAGAAGAGAATATAGATTTGTGGATTCTGAACTTTAGGAGCCCTATCACATAACAGAGTTTATCAAAGTCAGCTCTGGTTGCCTCTGACCTCAAGGAATTGAGCCACTTGCCTCTCCAGGCTGCACAGGCCAAGGCAAACGTGAGGCGATCATTCCTCCTGTGCTGGTGAAACAGGAAATGTTTGCCCCTCGTTTATGTGTGCCACTTTTACCAGTGTTACTTTGTTCCCTCCAGTAGCTCCAACTAGTGCCTCACCACCTGATAGACAGCCCCTTCCTTGTCTGGCTGTCTTTTTCTTGGAAAAACCTGTCCAGGAGTTCCCTATCCTCCAACTCCAGCCTCCAGAAAAGGCAGGGCACCCGCGGACAAGCCCCTGACAATGAAGTCGAGTGAGCTGAGACAAGAAATGCTGAGGCTCCGGCAGTTCCTTTACACCGCAAGGCTTCTTACTTGGTCTGTCAGAACGCCAAAATAACATTATTAAAAGTAATGATCCCCGCAAAGGTGTATGAAATTAACACTTTTATTTTCTGAGTAAATGAGTTGGATAAAGCACCTCTGAGTGGAAGGTAACGTTTCATTGACGTGAGTAATGCTAATGGCAGGGCAATAAATCTTACTGCAAATCAGGGTTCCAGTTTCAGGTCACCTCATGCTTTTTGAAGGTTGCTTTATGCCACTTCACTTTTTTGAAACACCTACACAAGTACCCATTTTTCTTAAATGCAAGAAATCTCAAGAGGCAGAAAATGTAGGTGGGTAATATATATCCCATGGGTCATGAAAGGATTATTAAGGAGACTTCTTTTTTTTCCCACTTCCTACACTTGTTTCTTTAGGAGCTCTGGTAGCATAGTGGGTTATGCATTGAACTGCTACTCAAAAGGTCAGCAGTCCAAACCCACCAGCAGCTCCACAGGAGTAAGATGAAGTGGTCTACTCCTGTAAAAATTAAAGTCTTGGAAACCCACCAGGGCAGTTCTACTCTGTCCTACCGGCTGGCTATCAGTCAGAATCAACTCAATGGGAGTTGAGACCCTTGTTTGGGGCTCACGTAAACATCCTGTCTTATACTAGAGAGCCAGACACCTGATGTCTCCCATCTCTGCTTCTACCTACGCCTTCCACCCAGCGCCTTCCCCATAGTGACCACTAAATCTGTCTTCCTGTGCTGGGTTTTTAATAACTGTTCTTGCTGCTCACTGCTTTGGTACAGTGGCTCTGCTCTGATGAGGTAAGTGTTGCCTCATCCGCACACTGCACGCTCCTTCTACTGAAGTGTCTTTTTGTATGCGGATCACCCAACCCAGCAGCTAAGTCCTTCTCTCTTCCTCCATCTCAAATGTCTGACAAAACCCTCTCCTTCCCAGAAGCCTTCCCTGAGTAGACCCCACCATGTTGCTATTTCAGTCACTCTGCCTTATTATACACAGATCTTTGAATGTCCAGCACTCGCACAACATACTGTTTGTTTCTTCCTATCAGGCTCTATTCATCGCCGGAAAGCCTTTCCCACCCAGTCTAGGCAAGGTGGCCCCCAACCGCTGTCATACAATGTTGGGCTTGTGCTGTTCACAGCACTGATCACACGTAGTGTAATGGTCCATTTATAGCTCAGCTGTCTTCCTACTGTCCTGGAGAACACGGCACTCATCATTGCTATATCCTCGGAATTTCACATCGTAGTTCCTCAATAATTGTTGAATGAATGAATGTGTGAATATCGTAAATCGCCAGAGAATTAGAACTAACTGCTTCTGTGTCTTATGTATCCCATAGCTCATGCCTGTATATGTGTATGTATGTGTCAAACAAACACGCTGCCATCGACTCATAATGACCCAGTAGGACGGAATAGCACTGCGCCCGTGGGCTTCTCACGGCGTCTGTTATATAATAGTTGCAAAGTAAATGCCTGACTTTTGAAATACTCTTACAGAGGAAGGTAGGAGCGAAAGTTGACCCCTTGAGAAATGTAGAAAGCTCGTTCATCCCATTTTAAGTGTGTTCCGGCCCCTCAAAGTGATTTTCATCCGATCAAGGTCCCTTTCCTGCTCCCACTGCACTAACCTTGGCCTTCAGAGCAGGTTCCGTGGGACGAGCATCACACACTTATGGAGAAATAAAGTAGGAGAGCTCTTCGTCTCTTACTGCTTTATATCTACTTTTTCCCTCTTTCTTAAACCACCAAAGGCTACCTTCTGGGATCAGTACCCAATGTATTCATAAATTCAAGTTTGCAAAACAATTTTCTGGGCATTCACTATTTTGAATCTGCATCCTGCAAAAGTGGTGAAAACTTCACCTCCGTCAGGCTCTCTGCTCACTTAACTCCCAGGTCTGCGCATAAAGTCCAGGGAGGCTCATCTGTCCTTGCTGACATCTGTTGAGACAGCCACTAAACCTCTTGGTCCACAGCCATCAATCACCAGTTTGCAACTAACTGGTCACTTGTTGGTATTAATATGGCCCGCTTGGTCTGGGACCCTCTCTGCTAACCTCTCCCACACAGGTGAGTCCTGCTGCTGTGACTGCCTTGGGAACCCAGCACCTCTAGGGGTTGCTTAACTCCATCTGCCTCAGACTGGCAGCCCATATCCATCTCACCCTGCTTGCATTTGTTTTCTGTTGTTGTTTCGGTTTTGTTTTTGAAGAGCAAATGTGTTACACTGATTGTGGGCGTTGGGCTCAAACAGAGCAGCAGTGGCGAGGATGGCACAAACTTGGTCAATGTTTGGAACTGTCTGGCAGCCGGAACAGACTCGATGGCCCTGCTCAGCCAAGGCCAAAGTCCATCACTTGGAGCAAATCAACATTGTTGAAAATTTGAGTCTTTTACTCCATAGTATATTTATCTCTCCTTATATTTAGGCCTTCTTTCAATCAAGTTACTATTTTTTTTCCCACGATAAACTCGTTAGATTTACGTGAGATGCTCTAGTGCTGTCTTGTTATTCTATATGGTATTTTTTTAAAAGGTACTGCCACGTCCACTCAGACTCCAGGTGACCCCCTGTAAGAGAACTGGTGGTGCATTGGTTAAGCACTCAGATGCTAACAGAAAGGTCAGAGGTTTGAACCATGAAGAAAGACATGGCAGCCTACTTCCGAAAAGATGACAGTCGTGGAAACCCCCGCGAGGCATTTCCACTCTGTCCCTTAGGGTCACTGAGTGTCAGGCTTGACTCAGCAATGGGATTAGGTTTGGGTTGGACTGTCTGACACAAAAGGGCACTCGGTAGATGTTCCCTTTCTTCCTACCCAAGAAGTTGTGAGGAAAGAGAGTAGCTACATTGAAGGATGAGGCATTCGTGAATAGTAAGTTTCTGAAAAGGAATCCCTTGGTCTGTTTGTAAGTTGATTCACCAAGTCTACTGCTGCTGGGTCTTTCCCACGCCTCATGACTACAGGACAGAGCAGAACTGCCCCAGAGGATTTCCAAGACTGGGGATCTTTTCCGAATGCTGACTGCTACATCTTTCTTCCACAGAGAAATTTGTGGATCAAAAGCCCCAACCTTCTGGTTAGCTAGCCCTCTGGGCCACCAGCTTTGCTCTTGCATGAGATAACTGCACACCACATAACTGTATGCCCTGGTTTCAACTGATCTACAAATTCTTAAAAGACACAAGAATGGATCTCATTTCTACATGGGGACTACCTGCAATTGGCCAATCTTTACCTCGTGTAAAGAAGAGCCAGGGCTCTGCAAACTCTTCCAGAAATTAATCAATAACAATGCGATTGTGCAAACAGTTTAGACACGTGCTTGCTGTACTTTCTCCCTTACATATTCAGCAGTGAAGCAATTCTAGTTAGTGTGAGTGGCCTGCTGCCCAGCCAAGGCCTGAGGTGCAGTCCAGCGGTGGGACAAGAACCACCAGACAGGTGTGAGGGGACAGCAAAAGCTTTTCAGACTCATATCCTCTCGGGACCTGAGTTTCCTGAGGTCACTTCACCCACAGCAGGAGGACAATGGCCGAGCTGAAGGTAAGAAACTGTCTCATCGTTTCGCTTCTTCAGAAAGAACCAATGGGAATGTTGGGAACTCCACGGTGTCAGAGTGGGGAAGGACTAGGAGATTCCTTGGTCCAACACCCTGTTCACAAGTCCAAGCAGCTTCATGGGTGGCATCCGTGAGGTGCCTGGGGCTGAGGAGTAAAGGAAAAGTGGCAAAGGGCAAAGATAAAACTCTTAATACCCATCTCTTGCCTTTGTTCATGTCAAAGATTGCCTTGGAGATCTGTAGATATCACAAGGACCCCAGTTCACCATGGACATCACATTCTCATGATGCCTGAGGCCTGCTTCCCACAAGCCAATTGGATCTGCTTACTCTACTGTGGCCGTGGAGCTCAGTACCAATGGCTAGCCAGCAGAAACCCTTGTAGATCCTCTAGAAAATGACCTCTGTAGAAGGGACCAGGTATCAGGCATCAAAGAACAAAAAATCATATCAGTGTCTGCCCACCTTCCTGATATGATCACGGAAGACAAATGTGTGCATAAGCAAACGTGGTGAAGAAAGCTGATGGTGCTCAGCTATCAAAAGCGAGTCTGGGGTCTTACAGGCTTGAAGGTAAACAAGCGGCCATCTAGCTCAGAAGCAACAAAGCCCACATGGAAGCATCACACAAGCCTGTGTGACCACGATGTGTCGAAGGGATCAGGTATCAGGCATCTAAGAACAAAAATTCATATCATTCTAAATGAGGGTGAGTGCAGAGTGGATACCCAAAGCCCATCTGTAGACAACTGGACACCCCTTTACAGAAGGGTCGCAGGGAGGAGACCAGCCAGTCAGGGTGCAGGGTAGTAATGATGAAATATACAACTTTCCTCTAGTTCTTAAATGCCCCCTCCCCCCACCCCACTATCATGATCCCAATTCTACCTTACAAATCTGGCTGGACCAGAGGATGTACACTGGTTCAGACAAGAACTGGAAACTCAGGGAATCCAGGACAGATGATCCCTTCAGGACCAGTGCTGTGAGTGGCAATATCGGAAGGGTGCAGGGAGGGTGGAGTGGAAAGGGGGAACTGATTACAAGGATCTACATATAATCTCGCTGGGGGAATGGACAACAGAAAAGTGGGTGAAGGGAGACATTGGACAGTGTAAGATATGACAAAATAATAATTTATAAATTATCGAGGATTCATGAGGGAGGGGGAATGGGGAGGAAGGGGGAAAATGAGCTGATATCAAGGGCTCAAGTAGAAAGCAAATGTTTTGAGAATGATGATGGCAACAAATGTACAAATGTGCTTGACACAATGGATGGATGTATGGATTGTGATAAGAGTTGTATGAGCCCCCAATAAAATGATTTAAAAAAAGAAAAGAAAATGACCTCTTTTTATTTAACGTGCAATCAAAAAGTATGTATGGGATATGTGCTACTAGGGGCTAGACAATTTAATGGTGAATTCCATTGCAATCCTCAGACTAAATTGGGGGTGTAGGCACTATTGATTGTATTTAAGGACAGTTCAACCCAGAGATTTCAAGTGACTTGCCCCAGGTCATTGTTGGTCGCTGAGGGAAATTGGATTAGAATCTGGGCTTGTATGATTCTAAAGCTAAGGCCCTGAAAGGAGCCTTCTTGGCATTTACTAGACGGAGTGTCTTAAGAGCTGGGAAAAGAGTGGTTCCCCAGTGCTTGAAGCCCAGGCTGGCACCAGAGTCCAACACATGCACTAGGGACTGAATACAACTCCCCAGAACCTGGGCTCAAGCCAGGTGGGCCAGACCCCAGACTGCTTCCCAGATATAGTTTGGGCTCTATATGCTCCTAATGCTCTTTGAGCAATGCTGAGTTTGAAAAACCAAATTCCTCCTTTAATTAATGGGGATCCTGACAATAACTACCACCGGCGAAATGTGTTTGTCTTTATGCCTGAAAGTTACTCATTCATTCACTCAGAAAATGTTACCTGCTAGACTTCGGATACCATAGGTTAATAGAGAATGGACACTAAGTCTGGGTTGTGTGAGAACAAGAGAATCTTCTTGAAGGAGCTTTTTCTAAGTTGCATCTTAAGAGAGAAATCAAGTTAACTCAGTGGAGACACTGGGAGACAGAGCAAGTACAAAGCATCTGCAGATAGCCCTGTGTGCTCCAGACTCCAAGGGTGTTTCAGCCAAATTTGAGTTGCTGGAGGAACCACCAAGGGGAGATCTGCAGAAGGAGGCTGGATATAGGGATCTGGATCATCGTCAAGTGGACAGGGCTAGGGGATTAGTTATTAGGAGCATCATATTGATGGTGACTGTTGAAGTCTTGGAAGAGGGAGTACACATAAAAACGGTGTTTCCTGATGGGGAATTTCAGTAGGGGTTGGAAACATCCTTACCATTTATGAATAAATTATACCTAAAATCCTATCCTGCTGTAATTTTTAGCAGCTTATTATGCATAGCACCAGCACACCAATGTAAATTGCATGCTGGTCTTTGTTCTCAACTTCAAAGGCATTCTTCCCAGCCCGCTGTTTAATCTCCACAAAGAAAGGTTAGCTCCAGAGGTCAGGGATCCCAATGGAGAAAAACAGATTGCGTCATACTTATTTGAATCAATAAACATTGTATAACTTTAAAAATGTATTCCTTAGCTTCTACTTCATCTTAAAAAGAATACGACAATCCAAAGCCTCAAATTAAGTCACACTTACATACAACCAGTGCAAGAAGATGAAGAAACTTCAAAAGACAAAATAATAAAATTAAATCTTAAGTGGGCTACTCTATGCTCTTGAGGAAGTTGCTTCACTCCCCCAAACTGTAGTTTCTTCATTCTTCAAACGATGAGTTAGTTTAACAGATAGACTTGAGGCCCCACAACTAAAGATTCTTATTCACTGGTTCTGGGTCTGTGTATTTGAAGAGCTCCGTGGCCAATTCTAATGATCAGCCAGTATGCAATCCACTGATCTACATTGTTTCTCTCTCTCTCTCTCTCTCTCTTTTTCTATTCCCACTGTAACAAACTTGCAAACTTAGTGACTTAAAACAGCAGAAATTACTATAGTTCTGAAGGTCAGAAATGCAAATTGTTTCAGTGGCTAAAATCTGGAGATGTTAGGGGAAATCCATGTCCTTGTCTTATCTAGCTTCTAGAAGCTAACTGGATTCTTTAGATTGTAACCCTTCCTCCATTTCCAAAGTGTGTCATTATGACATATTCTTTTTACTCATCTGTAATGGAATCTTTTCCTCTCTCTCTTACTAAAAGTATTGTAATTACACCCATCTGGATAATCCAAAATAACCTCCTCAACTCTGTCTCAAGATCTTTAACTTAATCGTATATATGAAATTCTCTTTTGCTACATATAATAACAGCCACAGATACCAAGGAATAGGATGTGGAGATTGTGGGGACATTATTCATCTTGAATCCATGGGTGGCACAAATAGTTAAATGTTGAATATTAACTGAAAGGTTGTCGATTTGAGTCTACCCTCAAGGTACCTTAGAAGAAAAGTCTGAAAGATTGCCGCCATGAGAAACTGTGGATCACAGGTTCCTCCAACACACACAGGCTTGCCAGGAGCTGAGGTCAATTCCACATCAACAGCCTACCCCAACAACCTTCCATGTTGCTCTAACAATTTAGAACCCATATCCCCATTAAGCTTTAAATACTGGAACTCTTTCTACAGGAGAAAATGCAGTTGTGTGTGTGTGTGTGTGTGTGTGTGTGTGTGTTTTCAAAACCATTTTATTGGGAGCTAATACAGATATCATGTCATTCCATAGCTCGCTCGCATCAAGCAGTGTTGCCCAGGTGCTACCACAATCCATTTCAAAACATTCTTTCCCTTCTTGAACTCCTTGATTTCAGCTCCCCCTACCCTCCCCCTACCCCATACCCCCAGGAACCTTTATTCTACTTGTTGTGTTTATAGGTTCATCAATCCTGGGTTTCATATCCTGAAAAATAGAAAAACATATAACAAAAATCCAGGAGGATGCCCCCCCCCCCAATGACAAAATACATCTGAGATAAACCCCAATATGAAAATACATGCACAGAAAGAAAATGTTAAAAACCAGATCAGGCCCAACATGCATGGGGTGGGGTGGGGGGGTGGGTGGGAGGATCATCCGACAAGATTTCAATGATTCGAGTCAGGTTTATCATTTTGATCTCCTACAGTCATCTCGCCAATGCACTGTTTGGTAACCAGTTTATTCCCATCCCTCCATTATGGATAAAGGGACATCACTGAAGGCTTATTTCCTGTGTAGATCTCACAAATGTATCTTGGGCTTCTACTGTCATCCATAACCTTAGCTCTATCTAGACGTCTTTCTTTTTTCTTCATTCCCAATTAGAGGAAATAAGATGTGGAAGTGAGCAGGTGATCCTATTTATTCCCCAGAAACTAAGCCTCACAGGAACAGTGAATAAACATCAGCACAGCTGGAGTTCTCGGAGCTCCAGATGGTAAGTGAGGTGCTGGACAATCCGAGTGAATTAAAAAGCTCCGAGAGGAAGGGCAGTGACAACACAGCAGCTAGGAGAACCTGCCAGCTAACGTCAGGAACCCTCACTCACTGTTGCCATTTGGGAACAGGGCTGGTTAATACCCAAACAGGGACACAGAAAGAGAGCTAATCTGAGGAAGCTGTAGCCTGGTATTTTAAAATGCCAAGTTATTGGCACATCATTCATATACTATACAATTCAATAGTTTGAATCTATCAGGAAGGTCATCACCACAATCAGTTTCAGAACATTTTACTCATTCTTCAACCTATTATTATTAGTTCCTTATTACCCCAAAGCTCCCCTGCCATAACCCTAAGGAACTGCTAGTCTAGTTACTGTGTCTGTCAATTACCTAGTCTGGATTTCAAATAAAGAAAAGTACGTATACCAAAAAATCAACAATGATAACAAAGTATAACAGAGAAACTTCAATGCAAGAGGAAGCAAAAGGTAACAGAAACTAGAACAAATTAAAATAGGTCAAAAAGG